TCCTGTGTATCCTGATTTTGCTTTCTTAAATTTTCTGGACTAATTTTATATTCCCCAGTTTTATTTTGTGAATGGTTTATGTAAAAAAAGCAACTGTTCTCCAAATACTAAGACTAAATTCTTATCACATCATTTTAAGAGTTTCATGGACATCAGTCAGGTTGCCCACAAAAATGGATGAAAAGTGTTTTTATGCTGATTACTATAGAACTGTATTAATTTTTTGTGGCTTGTTAGCTTTAAGTCTAATTTAAACATAATTCTTATTGATCCTATTTTTAGTATATAGATGATGATATCTTCTATCTTTTCAGAATATATGGAGTGTTTGTAGTACAAGAAAGAATGCAGTGAGGCTTTTAAGTTACATATATCTGGTCAGAAGCATTATAAGCCTTTTGAATTCTCAGAGAATCAAGGGACATTAACACATTCAAATTGTGACAGTTGTTTATCATCTTCACCAGGTTTCATAAGTATTATCTCTTGGGTCTCAAATTCTAGTGGTACACGGAAACTACTGATGGATTAGCTGGTTATCGAAAGTAGCTATGCATGCACTGGGAAGCTAATGAGGGTAACAGTGGTATTTTAAATCCTGCACTTCAAAGAAAACCAGCTCTATAATAAATTCATGTATAAGTGGTCAAGTTCTGAGACATCAGAATAATACATAGCTTTTGCACTTGTTCATCTTCTGAACAAATGTAAACAGCAGAATACTGACTGGAATGTAAGCAGTATGTTAGCTAAGATAGACTCAATTATATTAATATCATATTTAAGAAGGCAATGTTTATATCAAGATATGTGTGCAAGATAACAATGTAATATTTATGCTTATGGATCTTATGAAAGTGGAACTGAAGTGGTATTTTAAAACTTCTATGAGGGTTGAATTCTCTTCTAAGGAAAATAGTTAAAAATTCATTATTGCATACAGCAGTCTTTACTGAGCAGTGTTTTTGTTACTGTTCCATACACCTAGTTTTGAGAGCTGGGTGTAATCCTGATTAAGCAAAGAAGCTCAAAATCAGATTATACATCTGCTAGCAATTAGATGGAACAGTTACCATCCAGAGATGTATTTCCACTGGAAAAGAAAACAAAACAAACCCACATTCTATGGTATAATTAAGCCACAGTTAGCTATAATTCTCATGTCCATTCATAAACTGTATTCACACACATAACTGTTGCATTGCCCTTTGATCATCTTGACCAAACGATTGAACAAAAGCAAGAATTAATGCCAGGAGATAGTTGATAAATAGTCTCAGAAAGTGAGTGGTAGAAGCTCCATTTTAACATATTCAGAATTTATATGACTAAAGGATTTAGTCTGGAGGATAACCTTACACTGATAAGAAGATAGATGATTTACACTCCCCACCCACATTTTTATTTTATGTGGTACTGTGAGTCTCTTGAGCAATCTAAATAAATGGAAAACTACATAAATGAAAATTTTAAAAGGTAAATAGTGTTTAAAATTAATATAAGAGAACTTGCTGAATGAGATGTTAGATACTCTGCTCTGAACAATGGCTACCTAAGATGAACTGGTCTGGTGATTAACATTAGATGAGATTAAGCAAATGGATTATGATGTTTCTTCTAGCTGAGTGCACTTGGAATACAACTAAGGATGTTCATTTCATATGGCATAGACAAACACATGTACAATTTATAAATCTGAAAACAAGCTAACTACTCTTTTATATACATAGGATGTGACTGTGGGTGAGTATGATGAAATTATTTGCAGTATTTATGAGCTATATGGTATTAGACACAATCTTATATATTTAGAATGAAACATTCAACTTAGTGTCTTTATAAAATTGACTAACTTTGTGCATGAACTTTGAATGAATGGATTTGCTTATGAGGGTACAGGCAAAGGGATTCAATTCTGAATTTTGTTTGATTTTCTTGAAAATATTAATTATACTGTAAGTGCCAAATTATCTAAATAGACATTCTGTATCATGTAATATAAGCTATTTCCTCATTGTAAAGTCATTGAAGTATAAAAATTGATACTTTTTAATATAAAATGACACTATTACAGTGCAATGACCTGTAGTATCAAATAGTAATTTCTACAATATGTTGTTTATTCATTTGTTGAAATGTTTTCTATATGTAAGATGCAATCAGAAGATATATGAAAGATGCAATTTCCACTATTAAAATCAATGCTAGAAAATATTCACACATGGTGTTCTATGCAACTCTCAGTTCTCTTCCAAGACTATCTGGTTTATTGTTAATTTTATGTTTTGCTAAAAAATCTTCTTTATCTTAGTTACTTTTGTGAATTCAAATTATTTCACATTTATAATGAAAGTTGTCTTTTTGTTTGTATGTGTATTCTCTCTTTGTTTTGGATTTTTTACTTCCACACTGTCAAGACTCAATGTAATAATTATCTTTATGTAAAATGCATTGTGTTTTGTCAAAAGCCATTATTATCAGTAGTTTTGTGAGAAAATCCATCTTGTGAGTATCTCTTGTGAATAATCATATGGGTAGATGAAATTCCACTTCATTTTCATAAAGGGTGAGAAGCTGTAGTACAGAGAAATTGAGGAGCTATGTCTGTTCATTTCTGTTTCTGGCCATGATGATTATTTAACAGATTTCTCCCCTTTCCCAGAGATCCTGGACTGGACTCTTAGTGAGCTGAAGTCATCTTGGCAGTTAAATGCAGGAACCCAACATTCAGTTCACTCACCAACTTTACTACTGTCATTGCTGCTTTCATTGGCATAGAATATTTCCTCGGCAAATCAAGTCTAAAATTTTGGGTTGCAGCTAGCAATAAAAATGCTCTTATGGGTTTCCTCTAGGAATAAGACACTGTAAGAAGTTGCCCAGAGAGGTTGTGGATGCCCCATCCCTGGAAGTGTTCAAGGCCAGGCTGGATCAGGCTTTGAGCAGCCTGGTCTAGTGGAAGGTGTCCCTGCCCATGATTCTATGATATAGAATCATATCTATTCATAGACTTATAGTCTATGAATATCAGTATAAACAGAATGATGCATGAAACATAAAATGGCTGATTCAAATTTTGTTCTTAGTCTTAACTCACCTGTCAACCTCTCAGTTTAGAAAAGTAATGAAAATTTAGGCAACTAATGAATGCATGTGTCAAAAAAGATGATTATAGAATCATAGAATAGTTAGGGTTGGAAAGGACCTTAAGATCATCTAGTTCCAACCCCCCTGCCATGGGCAGGGACATCTCACACTAAACCATATCAAATACAGCTTTCAGTGACTTCAGTTGAAGTACAGCTCCTCCTTAACAAAGAAAGTAAGCCAATTCATTAGCCATCATGGACGGGGTTATATATGTTGTTGCAGCCAAGCCTGAAAATCTTTAATTAAATATGTACAGATTTTCAATTTATTTGTATTTTTATTTATTTAATGGAATTGTGATTACATAAATCAATCTTTGTGTACACCATCTTACTGCAGACTCGTTTGGTTATTTTTCAGTTTTAGCACTTAATGAGAGTACAATATGCAGCATAAATAATGTATTAAAAGAAGAATTTTTTCTTGTCCTCTGATCATTGTTCAAAATAATGAACATTTTAAAAGTTACTAATGCTTAGTGGAAGCAAAACACTCAAGCTGAAAACAGTGAGTTATTGGAAAAGCTGTAAGAACACAGTAAGAAAAAAATCTTGTCAAATATACCTTTATTTGAACCTTGACTGTCTTGAAAAATGGCAGCATTTTCTTATCAGTTTCAGAACCGATGTATGTAGTAGTGAAATAGTGAAAATACTGCTTTCCACAGCTTCATTAGGAAAAATATGTAGTAGCCAGAGAGTTTGTTTCATTAGTCAGTATTGCAGTTACTTCAAAGTGACATTGTCAAAGAACTAATTTATATGATTTTGATGACAAGCATTCTCTGAGACTGCTCTATTGCTTTCCAGTAAAACCCTACTAAAACTGCTTCCTTGAGGCTGATCAGTTGACTAGCCATTTCTATCTTGTGTTCCTGTGCTCCACTAAAAGCAAACCAAGCATTAAGATAAAGCAATTATTTTATTCATTTAAAGGGTTTTTATCACAGTATCTGTATGTAGACTGAATTCAAATGGAGAGGTTGCAGTGACACTATTTTATTTTCAAGCATGAACACTATTGTTATAGTTGTCAGAGCTAACCTGTATTCTAGAAGACTGGTATTTAAACGTTTCAATTTAAAGGCTACTTCTACTGAAAAATATCAGATTTTTTTGTTGTTGTTTTATAAGGAATTTAAAGACTTTTCTTTTACTAAAAAGAACTGATCATTTTTGATCAGTAGTTTTTCCCTCAGTGTGAATGCAAATATTGTAGAAGTTCATGTATCATGAAATATAAAACTAGTGATAGAAAAACAAATGGTTTGTGAATTTATGATGCAACTTACTTCTAAAACATATTTTTTAGGCCTTGTCCTGCAACAATTTACAGTGTAGACAATCTGGAGCCTTTTCTCTGACTCCAATGAATTTGCCCTGGTATAAAACTAGTATATGAGATCAGAATGATTTGTATTGTCTTTCAGTTATGTTATTTTGGACTGAATATGGCTCATGCCTAGGCACAGGCTTCTCCCTGTTAATAAAGATTTTTCTAACATCTCAAACATAAAATATTGTTGTTAGCTTTGTCCACAAGAAATAAAACTGGACTGACCACATACCTCCTTCTAAGGACAGGTTTCTTGTACCAAAGTGATAAGAGATTTAAAATTACACTAGGGAGTTTTGGGAATACTTGCAAATTGAGCTATGCTAACTTAATCTGACAGTACTGGAGTCAGTGGAATTTAGAGATAACAGCTTGGATCTATCTAAATCCAGTGATTTTTGGAACAACTTGCTGCTGTGGTTTCTTATAAATTCTCTTTCTGTACTTTTCAAAATTAGAACCATGTTATTACTAGTCATAAGAAAAGTTTTACACCCATCTCCTCTTTCTTCCAGATTGCCGTCAAAATGAGTGAAACACCTTCAACTAGTTACTCGGTGAATCAGCCTAACTCCTCCGAGAGTGAACAGAGTTTAATCATGCGCCATTTCAATGTTACTGAACCTGTTGTGGCAAAACGGATCTGTTTCTATAAAAGTGGAGATCCTCAGTTTAACGGGATCAACATGGTGATTAACAATCGGTCTTACAAAACATTTGATGCCTTGCTGGATAGTTTATCTAAACGGGTCCCATTACCTTTTGGAGTAAGAAATATTAGTACACCAAAAGGGAGACACAGCATCACCAATTTGGAGGATCTTGAAGATGGAAAATCTTATATTTGCTCCCATCAGAGGAAAATGAAGCCCATCAACCTGGAACAGGCTAGCAAAAAGCCACTTCCCTGGCAGATCAGTAGGCCTGTCAGTGGTCGCCGTCGAGCTGTGCAATTAGCAAGGGAAAATGAAGATGGATTTGGCAATCGAGAAAGTAAAATAACAACTCCCAAGAAGATGCTTGTTTTCAAAAATGGAGATGTAAGACTCAGGCGCACCATAGTTCTGGGAAAGAAAAATACACAAACCTTTGAGGCCTTTCTGGATTACATGAGTGAGTTAATGCAATATCCAGTTGTGAAACTATACACCACTGATGGAAGAAAGGTGAGAATAAAGATGAGTATGTACAATAGGATTGCTTCTAGATTAGTTTTACTTACAAAGGTGATTTTATCAATTATAAGCTTGGGACACTGGCCTGGTGTAAGATCTGATGTGCTGAATTCCAGCTGTTTCTTTTCTATTCTTTTCCCCTTCAGAAAAGCTGCTAGCCTGGAGAAAAATACTGAAATCTTGTGATCAGAGAGAAGCAAGTGAGGGCATTTTATTTTAAGCCATCCTGAAAAAAACACTTTTCTTAATCAGACCTCTTTCAAGCATGCTCTCAATTCTATATTTTTACCCATTTGCAAAGAAACTTTTAATGTTTTAAAAATAGATAAGTATTTGTCTATTAGCCAAATGTATTTTATCATTACACAAATGCAGAGTGGTTTGCCATTAATGACTTGGAACTATGACATCTATTGTCTAGGTTTCAAACTATGGACCAAGTTCTGTACCTCTAAACCTAGATGGTACAGAACTAATAAACCTGATTTTCAGCTCACATGCAGTTTTATATAATTTTCTCTTACTTTGTGTTTTATCTGTGTGTTGTTTAATCACAGAAAAGCACCTCTGATTGTACCTAACAGGTATCTAGAAAGGGAATTCCATGCAGAGCTCCAAGAGTTCAAGGAAAATTTGGTATTAATCCACTGTTTGGTGAAATTCTACATTAAGTTAGGAAACTGTCCATATCACCTGTAAGTCAGTGAAATGCAGTTTGTAAGCTTTATCTTGTAGTATATTTTGACACAGTAATTCAGAACTGAGACAAGGCTCTGAGCACCTTGATCCAGTCAGACCTGCTTTAAGCAGAGGGTTAGACTATGTGACCTTTTCCAGTGTATATTGTTCTGTGACTGTGTCCCATTCCTCTGTGTCTGTACAGGTCCAGTACTTGTGATGTATTCTGAATTGCCCCATTCTTCCTCCAAATACGTGTTCATATGTGTACCTACCTCCAAATGCATGTTCTTATTTTGTGGCTATGAAGAGTCACTGTGAAAAGATGAAACCAAATTACATATGCAAACATCTAAATTATAAGAAAATCTTCATGTGCATCCAACTTCCTTCTTGAAGTCTTTTTCTAATGTATTGATATAACTAGACATATACCCTCACAGAGGTATGAATTGCCTTATAGAAATTGAAAAATTAATTCTGTGCTGTAATACATCTTTAATAGCTTGCTGCAAACTAGTGTAGAGCCTAAGAAATTAAGATATTAAAGTATGAAAAGGATAAATCTCTTACATTATTTTAGTGGTTGCTAAGGCAGAGAATTTAACGCTACTTTTCTTTTTTTCCCCAGGTTTCTAATCTTCAGGCCCTAATACTGTGCTCTGGAGCTGTAGTTGCAGCGGGGAGAGAGCCTTTTAAACCAAGCAATTATGATTCTCTTGGGTATTCACGGCCTGCTAAATTGCTTGGAATTGCAAATCGTGTGTACCCAAAAGCAAATGCCAAGTCAGAGAGTGAAAATAGTAAGTTTTTTGAATTAATTTGTATTTTATTAATTGGTTTATTTTTCTCAGTATAAGACATAAACCATGACAATCTTACTAGGATCTATGAAATTCCAAAAGGCCATCTGTTTTGACTCCTTTATAAGTGTAAGGAAGATCAAAGTGTTATTGTTCTTTTTAAAATGTAAGTTTTTAAATACTCAGCTAGTATGCATATTTTCTTTCAAAGAGACTTATTTAGAACGTGGGTGCAAATCTGTAAGTATATTTTATATTAATGTATTTGATTGTCATTGCTGTCAAATTTTTTGTGTCATAGTTAATAATGGCAGTGGTAAAGAGAAACCTCAGGCCACTTCAGGGTTTTAAATAACTGAATTTCTTGAGCAAAATTTTTGTGCAGTTTTCAGAACTTACCTTAGGAAGTAGAAGTTTGACTTGTCATTGTCATGACTTTCACTTTCCCATGTCCCATGCTCCACATAAGCAGGTAAAATATTACAGCACCCTTTCACTCACAAATTCATCATGTTTTTGAAGCTGGTTTTGTCTAAACAGAGTGTCAGCCTTTCTTATATCCTTGTGGCTGTGATATATGTTTTTTGGATAAGTTTGGGAAAAGGTAAACAAATATGTGCTTTCCCTTAGGTTACTGATAGAGTTGTGTTACTGAGAAGGTCAGTAAGAATGTGAAGTGGCCAGGGAATGATCAATGACAAGAGGAGCTGTTGGAGAGAAGCAAGGCTAGCTGAAAAGCCTGAGGTTGAGGGGAACAAAGTGCTGCAGTACCAGAGCTTTAGGTTATGTGGGAATCCTGAGCATTAGGGCAGAGATACTATCTAGGGGGGACCTTGTTTAATACAGAGGTACATACTACTCTTGATAGAGCTGCATGCTGTACTGGAGTGTCCAGGGAATATTGTAATTGTTTCCGTACTGAGGCTTTCAACAGCAAACTTGACTGTGTCCCAGAGCACATTGATACATGAGGGACTTGACTTCCACTTACTTGAATGAGTTTCTTCCACATCCCTTGCAGTTTATTATGTCCCCACCAAACTCATCATTTTAGTTTTTCTCAACCTTCATGTTCTTTGACTTGCACAGTATTTGAGAAAGTTCTACAGAAACAAAAAAGTCCTACCCAAATTTTGCTTTGAGACAGAGACTGAGCCTTGCAATGGTAGAAGTTGTGAATAGCTCAGAATCTGATAAACTCCCTCTTCCAATCCTTAGTTAAGGGCAATTACAGAAGGAGGGAGAAAAAAAACCCCAACAACACCACAATATTTTTTGTCTTTAACCTGAGAAATTTGGAAGTATCCTGTGTAGGAGACATCACTGATGAAGCAAGAGCCTGAAAAATCAACTTGCAGGCACTTTGTTCCAATTCCATTTCTTGAGACAGAGAAAGTGAGATTTTTACTTTGGGAAGCATAAGGTCTTGTCTGTATTAGAGGAGTTAGTACAAACTTTTATTTCTGATTCAGTTCATGGTATAGCATATGCCTGGGAAACTTGCAAGGCACTCTGCCTGAAATTATAGACTTGTAGCTATAATGATAATATGCTAACTGTGAAAGTTTTGATATAAGACCATTTGTGACTCACTTGAGATAAAAAAAAAGAAAAAAGTTTAAATTCAAGCAATGTAGATAAGGTAATATTCCATGGCTTAAAGATAAGTGAAATCTGTCTATTAGATGGTGGTTTCTATATATGTAGGTATCAGTAGTAGCTCCGGATATCTTTGTGTGGATGACCTGCACTGTTTCCCTTGCACATGCAGAACTTTTTGGAAGATAGCAAAACCTTATTTTTATCTCATGTTCTTTTGTCTCATCCCTTCAGTGATAACTGCTAGAGAGAAATAGATTTTTTTAAAAAGCCAAGTTATTGCAAACATATTTTATTCAAATATTAAGTTATTAAAACCTATTTTGTGAGTATTTAATATGTATGTAAACACATATCGGGCCATACTCACTATTTATTGAAGTCTGAAAGTATTTTCATTGGCTTTGCTGAGTTTTGTGTCATCGTCTACAGTACTGTAGCATAAAGCATATCTCAGAATGTCATGATTTAAATTCAGATTTTATAAGAACTTCGAGAGCTTCAATGTTTACATCTCTATAGATGGGCAGTCCAAGGGATTGGATCTGAACCGTTTATTCATGTGTCAATGACACTACTTACAGTAATTACTCATATGCTGTAGATAGCTGGATTGAGCCCAGGGAGATACATGTTCACCTTGACTGACACATTTTGGCACTAACTGTAAGAATTAATGCAAAATTATTTCTTCCCTAACGCATGAAGAAGATGTGAAGTTGGCAGCTTGAAGCCCAAACAAGTGAGGGCTTGTGAATCCCTTGAATGGTTCAAGACAACCCCCCAGCTCCTAACTATGTATAAAATTAGAGTATTTGGTACTTTTTTAGGCTTAGGAGCTTCAAATAAGACTATAGTTCTAGTATTAGAAAGAACCTATTGTACCTATTTTGACTAATTTTTCTCCTTTCTTCTTTTCTCTTCCTTTGCTGCCTATCTGCTGTCTCACCGTCTGGATCCTTATGCATAATATTTGTCTGCTCTAATTTCCATCTACTTGAATGAATTCGGGTTCTTTCAATGTAATTATTGCTAGTGAGAGCTGAAATGAGCTCTGGCTCAAGATCTCAGGTATTCTCAGTTTCTTCTGATAAAGGGTCCAGCAATGATAATAACTTGAATGATAACAACTCAGATTCTTCCTGTATTCCTGCCAGTCATAATGGCATAGGAGGAAATCAGTCAGTTACTGGTGAAGACTTATCATCTGTGGCACAGTATGAAGATGACATTGAGAAATCTGTTCACCTTAATAAAGATGGCAGTATCACAGTGGAAATGAAAGTTCGATTCAAAATTAAAGAGGAAGAAACCATTAAATGGACAACCACTGTTAGTCGCGCTGATAAAAATACCACCACTTGCAATTCTGTAATGCATGCAGAAGACTCCTTATCCAGTGTAAATGTATCAGAACATATAAAACCAAAAGATGCTCTGTTTTTGAAGAGCTACAATAAGGAAGAAGGAAACTCACTACAGCAGTTAAATGCAGAAGTGTCAGACAGAGAATCAGAGTCTGATTTAAAAACTGCTGGTTGTAACACCTGTATGAAGAGCAATTCTGCAGATCCAGATGTAGGCAATGTACCTGAGGATAACATCAGGCCTCGCTTTTATAGGCCTCCTACCCCTGGGCCAAGGCGTGTTAGACAAAAGAAAGCGGTAGTTGAAAGTGTCACATTGGTTTCTGAGAAAGAGGTTCAGGAGAAGACAGTAGGACAGTTTTCCTACAGTGAGGAAATAAAGAATGGAGAAAATAAATCTGAGTATTGCATGGTAGCTCATTCAAGCAGAAAAAAATCAAGTGTCAGTAATCCAAAGTTTAGTGAGATAAGTGACAGTAGTTTATTTAAGCTTCCTTCAGAGAATATAAAAGAAGAAATGTTTTTTAAAGTAATCCACACAAACAATGATTTAATAGAAACCACAAAGAAGAATACATTAGAAGTGCCTGATGAGGATGAATCAGCACAGAATATATTAGAGAAATCAGTTGTGGATCAAGGTACATATAATAGTTTGATATCAACCTGCAAAAGTAACATCAGTTATTTCATACCATCATCAGAAATTTACCAGGCAGCCAGGCCAGCCTCAGCAGACCACATCCATAAGTCATACAATATTAAACAAATTAAAAGATCACTGAGTTCTTTCACTCACTATTCAGAATTAAGTCAGTCAGTAGAGGAAACACAATGTAAAACTTCAGATTTATTACCTATTTCTCAAGATGCAGTGCGTTCAGCCTCTGCTGGACATAGCCAGATGAAGATGATGGTACCTCCACATAGTAAAGGTCTTACTGACAAAATAAATCCAACACCTGGGTTATTTCCTGCTGTAACTGAAAGTGAGAATCAAACCATCGTCAGGACTGAATCTGTGACAACAACACGTCTCATTGATGACAGCCAAACTATATCTTCCCGCACCAGAAAGAAGAAGAAGAGAAAATCGACTAACTTCCTAGAACAAAGTACATATGAAGATCAAAAAGATAAAGGAATTTCAGGGATAATTAAAAGTGAGGCAATGCATATCACAAACAAACCCCCACAGGATTCCACAGCAGAGGCTATGGATAATTATTCTGAAATGACTCAGAAAAAAGGAATGGAATTTTTTGGAAAAAACAATGATGGCTCTGTCAATTCAGGCAAAAATGTATGTCCTGAAGATGAGTTCTACCACCAGGATTTAGTGGAGCAAAATGGATTATCATCTAATAAAAACCCAAGAAGTAATAACAAGTTGTTCAACTCAAAATTGAAGTCAGGCAAAAAAAATAGTATAGTTTCATCTGCAAAGAGTGAAGATGGTCTAGTGACAGTTGATTCAAATAATAACTCTGAACACAGTCAGGTTACAGAGAGTACTGAGAAAGAAGGCACACGTCTCACAAACAATTCTTTTGAACAGACATGTAACACATCAGTGATTTCAAAACTATTGTCAGAAGTGCCAGAGAATCTCAATGTTGAAAAAGAAAAGGAGAAGAATGTTTTGGAAAATTTCCCATCAAAGAAAGAGAAAAAGCAAAAGGGGATGAAGAAAAGTCTAAGTAAAGGGGCAAATAAGTTAAATATGTCAGAGAGTGCTATCACACAAGAGGCTCTGAAACGAGAGCATTTTCAAGAAGAGGGTGTTGAGCATTCACCTGAAAACCATGTCCAAACTTGGCTGAAAAGCTTTTTACCAAATTCTGTCTTACCCCCTATACATAAAAAAGAAGGGAATGTAGAGAACAGCAATGCGTGTAATTTTCCTGTTGTTGCTTCTATAGATAAAGAAACACAATCTATCACAAATAAAGGACATGTGACTGGAAAAAACCATCTGCTTGAACATAACCTAACAAAAAGAACATTAAAGCCTATTTGTGATTTGGGAGCTTC